CTTACTCATTCATAACAAATGTTCTCAGTGTTCACACTTGAGTAACTAGCACTACAGACACAGGTGCGCTGACACGACCTGGTCTGCCCTGCTGGAGTCCTGCCGGCAGCGACCACACCCAGTGCTGGAAAGGCCAAGCTAATAATGGGGGAAATAAGCATGCCCAGAAGGGCAGAGGGTACCCCAAGGAAGCAAGGTTAACTGTACCATCCCAGGGATAGAAGAGTTGCTTCAGCAAGGGCCACCAGATTGATCAGCATATGTAAATATCCTGTTGCCAGGCATTCAAAGGCTGGTGTGGGTAGAGCCCAGAATGGGAGAGGGGGCTGGGGCATACAGGTGCAGAGGCAGAGCACACCTTGTCAGGGATTTGAGTCTTTACCCTTAGAGCTGTGGGTAAGGTACAAAGTGGAAAGATCCAAAACAGAGAGACGAGTGGGCACAGGGGAGGGATTGACACGATTATATTTGCATTTTGAAATGCTCACTTGAGAACAGTGTGGAGAAGAGAGAGGGAGCAGGGAGACCAGTGAGGGGCCCCTGTGGAGTTCAGGAGAAAGATGATCTGGAAGGGGGCTTTGGAGATGAGAAGCCAGTAGGTTCCAGAGGGACTACTGGCCCTGAGCCTGATCCGCAGCAGCCGTCTCCATGTAACCCCAAACTCGTGACCCTCTCGGGGAAGCGTGGGGCACCCTCTCAATTCTCCATCCAGGACACCCTGCCTCCCCTCCTGCCCTGATCCGGAACTGAGAGCTCCTGCACCTTCCTCCCTCACCTTGAGCCGCTTTTCACCTGAACCCGGCAGGTCCAGCGCCTCCGCAGGTCTCAGGCCTCAGGATCGACTTGGGGCGCCTGGGGTTCCCCGCGCGGTCTCCTCACGGTCCCCTCCCTCACACCTCGTGGCTCCTTTGTCTTTCCAGAACCTTCTGCAGTTGGGCTGGCTCCCTGCTTCGGAGCCCCCCAGCAGTGCCCACGCCGGGGTAGCTCTCTGGACACGTGGTGACAAGGAAGGCAGAGGCCCGATAGGGGGCGGGACCCCCGGATCCCAGTGGTGACCCTCCTCCGAGGCACCCCGCCCCACTGCTACGGGGGGGGGGGCCCGGGACGACCAGGCAGGAGCAGTCTTCACTTACTGACCAGCCGTAGGGAGCCTGCGGAAAGGCTAGACGCGACCTGACCACTTCCACACAGAGCGAGGTCGGTCGGCTTCGGGGAAACTGAGGCGCCAGCAGGCTCTCTCAGTCGGTCATGGAGCGCCGCCCATCGCCTGGCTCCGGAAGAGGTCCGCGTGAGGAGCAGGGGCCGGCCGGCACAAGTCGCTGCCGGCGGGGTGGGGTCATTGGCCGGGTCCAGCCTCTCCCTTGGTGGCCCGCAGTCCAGTGACCCTTTCTGGGCTGGAGCCCGGCCGTTTCCTTCCCGGACCGCACCTTCTTTTGGGGCCAGGCGCCCAGGGCTGGGATCCCCGCTTGTGGGTCCCCCAGCGCCGCCAGGTCGGGCTTAGCGTTCTTGGGTGCGGGCTTTCTGATATGTATTTACAGACACCTGTGTTAGCCCCTGGTCTGCCTCTCTTTTCACCCATACGACGTTGGTAAGACCCATCCCCATGGCCCCGTGCCACTGCGCGGCAACGACCTCCGTCTAGTACTGGCGACCACTAGACAAAATGGTCTCTCCAGCCCTCTAGCAGTTGGGCAAGAAGGCCTAGTGCCCCTACAGCACTTGGCGTCACTTAACTCTCCAGTCATGTCTCCTCGTGGTTTTAAATTACATTTTCCTGATGACCAATGACTTGAGCCCCTTTTCTTTTAGAAAGGTCTTTCCAAGCCCCTCCTGCCCCTGTTCCCCTACCCCCATTACCCTCTTGGCTTGGCCTTGCAGAAAGAGCTAAAACGAGACAGTGTCCAATACGTGAGGATTTTCCCCAGATGGAGTGGTCAGGGAAGGCCCCACTGAGGTGACATTTAGGATGGGAAGTTGCCATGCAGGGCAGGGAGGGAGGGGTTCCAGGCAAAGGGAAGAGCCAGGATAAAGTCACCAGGTGGGGAATGAGTTGGCATGTTAGAACAGTGAGCAGGGCTGTGTCCCTCAGAGTGAGTGAGAGGAAGGGAGGGACAGACAGGTCCAGGGCAGTGTGAGAACCAAGAGAGACTTTAGTGAAGAAGGCCTGGAGGCAACCCGATGCGGTGGACCCTTTCCCTGGACATGAAAAACTCATCCCTTGGTCCTATAGGGTTCCTATGAGTTGCAATCTATTTGAGGGCAATGGGTTTGTTTGGTTTGGGGGTTAGTCCTAGGGATGGGGTTGGGAGGGGCTTATTCCCTTGGTCCTCAGTTAATTTCCTTTAAGCACAACCCAGAGCAGCTCAGCCTGGAACCCCTTGTGTCTGGTGCCCTAGTTCTGGGCCCCCACACCTAGGGAGGCTTGACTCCACATCTCAAAGAAAATCAGCCAAACTCCAGAAAACCATGTCAAACCATTGTGATGGGATTATTTGGGGGGTAGGGCTGGGTGGGATTGAAGAGGTTATTACAGCACACCAGATGGTACAAAACAAAATCAGATGTCCTCATGGCCATTCCTGCTTGTCTCTCAGAACTTCTTAACTCAGGTCTCTTCTTCTGTGCCTCCCACTCTTTAACCTTCTCAACCCCTGGTTCTCTCCCCAGCTCCCCTCAGCTCACCCCTCCAAAGGCAGACAAAGAACAACTAGTACACCTGAGGGGTCTCACCTGGGCGGGGACATCCAAGTCATCCCACTCCAGCCCCATTTCTAGGATAAGGAAACTGAGCAGCATTAGCCCAAAGACAGTGGATAGAAGTCTCCAGACTCAGGGTCAAGCTTTCCAGCTTGCTGAGTGCGCATGCGCTTGAAGGTGGGAATGGGGTCAATGGACCCAGGGGAGGTGGCAGGGTGTGTGTGTGTGTGTGTGTGTGTGTGTGTGTGTCTGTCTGTCTGTCTGTCTGTCTGTCTGTCTGTCTGTCTGTATCCCAGGGAGAGGAAAAACAGAGAATGGCAGCTGCCAGAAGGGGGCCTGGATTACAGGGAGGGTTCTGGCTCCAGCCACCAACTCCTTGCCTGGCCCCCGCCTCTGATCTCCTTGCTGCGAGGTCCCGCTGAGACCCATGAGACCCCCCAGGGCGGTAAGATGTCACTAGAGGCGGCAGTGGTGGCGGGGGATCCCCAGTTCTTGACGGTGATCATGGGACGCTGACTCACCACCCGACTTTTGACCACCGGGCGGCAGGCAGACAGGGCCCTGCCAGGGGGTTCCCCGGCGCACAATCTTGTTTACCTCTCGGCCGGCCTTGGGGCGGGGAGGGCTAGGGCGGCGCTCAGCAGCAGGGCATGCTGGGAAGGGCCGGCCCGGGCTCCCCAGGGACGAGGGCGCGTGGTGGTCTCCAAGTCTACCCTCTTGAGCCCATTTCTTGCCACCGCCTTTCTCTCTGAGCCTTCCCATCCCTCCCTGCAAGCCCACCACTGTCCCACACGGGCATAAATGTCGAGAAAGCAAAGGAGTTCCTGGTGACGGCCTAGGGGTCCCACTTCTTGTTTGGGCAAGGGCCGCGCCTTGGGCTGTTCCTGAAACCGGCGTTCCCCTGATCAGATGGCTTTCCTGTGCAGCCCACACCCCGCTCGGACCGGGACCCTGAAGCTTTGGGGTGGCTTGGCCGGTCGAGCTGGGGCGGGAAGCGCGCTCTTTGCCCAACCGCCGGGGCTGCGTCTCTCCCAGACTCGGGCGCTGCTGAGTCACGCGCGCTCCCACCTGCCGGCGGCCCGCATCTTCTTCCCAGACCCTGACCCTTCCCCCAGGGCCATGGGTCTCAGTGGGCCAAGGGTCACCGCGGAGACGCGGGGGGAGGGGTGAAGAGGGGGCGCTCCTCTCCGCAGGGCTGCTCCGTGCAGGGGTGCGAGGGTTGTCTGGAGCCTTCAGGGATGGATCAGCCACACCTGTCGACAAGTCCCTTTGTGCTCCCACATGCAAATCACCTTCGCACCTGCCTAGCCACTAGTCCAACCAAACTTCCCTTGGTCTCTGAGTTTCCCAGCCCTCGTGCTCCCACAAAGTCCACCGTGAAAGAGCATGACAGGACCCCATCTGGATGCAACATAGGGTGACATACCCTTCCTTCCCAGCTTCTTCCAAGGTGCTTCCCAGGGCCCCCTCAGAGGTGCTTCCCCAGGCCTTTCGAATAGGTCGCTTCGGTCACATACAGGGTTTCTTGGCTCATAGATCTAGGGCGGTTGGTCTGATCCCCTGCCCATGAGACCAACAGGCTGCGAACTCACCGGCCCTTGGGCATCACCTGCTGAACTGAACCCTGTGCTGACAGGTGGGTGTCTGGGTACCCAGAAGGAGTCTCTTGGGCTGCAGTGAAGCGCGGGCCCTGGGGGTATTCACGAGCCCCTGCCCCCTGTGCTCTCCTAGTACCTCTCAACCTATTGAACTGGGAACATCACTGGTGGATGGAGGATAAACCGCCAGGGAGGATGCTGTGTGCTGCTACCCGGGAGGCTGATTGCCCCGAATGGACTGGAGGCTACCAAGCTGGCAGGGTCGGTTGTACCACCCCTGGGGGTCTGCTTGTTCTGGCCGGCAATACCCACTGGACTGCTTAGGCACCTCTTGGCGTCGAGCCTCTGTGCTCCCCCCACCCCTTGCTCTGGGCATCCCCCGGCGGCCCGGGGACACTTTGCTGAGTCATGGCCAGGCCCAGGCCTGGGAGGAACCCCTTGCCTGTCTCTTGCCCCAAGAGCCGAGGCCAGATCCCAGTTTAGACGTCGGACTAACGGGGCGGGCCTCTTGGGGTCCCCGCTGCACTGGGGCAGTGAGGAGAGGGGCTGGCAGTGAAGGGAGCCCGGCAACTGTTGGGGGGGATGGTCACAGGAGACGTGGGGTGGCAGCGGGTGCGGGGCACCCTCAGGGCGGCTCGCGAGCGCGGCGGCCGGGCGGTGGGGGCGAAGACAGCGCAGGGAGACCCCGCCCCCAGGTGGCCGGTTGGGGCGGGGCTTCCGCGTTTTCTATAAAGGCTGCGCGCCGGCGGCCGGTTTTGTCCAGCTGGGTTAGTTCTTTCGCGTGCTGGCTATGGCGTCGCTCACTGTCAAGGCCTACCTTCTAGGCAAGGAGGATGCAGCCCGCGAAATCCGCCGTTTCAGCTTCTGCTTCAGCCCGGAGGCGGAAGCCGAAGCCGAGGCCGCGACTGGGCCCGGGCCTTGCGAGCGGCTGCTGAGCCGGGTGGCCTCCCTGTTCCCGGCGCTGCGGCCCGGCGGCTTCCAGGCGCACTACCGCGGTGAGCAGGGCCGGGGGTGGCGGCAGTGACGCAGGCCGAGCGGCCTCCGGACTGCCTGCCCTGCGGGGCGGGGGCTGCTGCTCTTCCTTCCCGTCGATGCCTGATGAGGTGAGGGAGGGCTGTTCTGGCAGTTGGGTGGGCAGTGGCCCGCGGCAGGTCCACACTTCGGCCTCGGGTGCCAGTCTGGAAGTCCAGGAGTGGGGGACCAAGTCTCGGTTCCGGCCCAGTCCCGGCTGTTCAGCGCTGGTCCTTCTGGAGCCAGGGGCTGCCAGACTCTGCGGGCTGATCTCAGGCCTGGGGGCGTCAGATGCCACCCCTCCCCCCGCCATGATGCTGCAGAGCTTGGCAAGGACGCGCGGGGGCGGCCTCTCGGCTCTCCGCTGGCGGCGGGCACTCTGGTTACACTCACATCTTGGCGCTTCGGAGTCTGGGCTTGCTTCCGCCAGGTGGTGGGTTCCCATTCTGCCCCTGAAGAGCCTGGGCGGAGCTGACCCGGAGGAAGAGGCCCCAGGGCAGGGGAGGAATGACACAGATAAACAACTGTGGTGTGCGGGGAACTATCCTGAGATAGCCTCTGTAAAGAGAGATCAGGGCCAGATCACAAAACGCCCAAGGCCAGGCAGAGTATGGACATTATCTCATAGGCGCTGGAGAGGCCGGCAAGATCAAAGCGTTCTTCTGGAGAGTTAGTGTAGAAATGGAGGCTGGGAAGCCTTTAGGGGCCCAGGAGCTAGCTTAGTTTTTGGCTGTGCTTGTGTGACTGGTGACTGCTGGGGGTGGGGTTTAGGAGGTTGTGGGAGGGAGGGCGGGGCAGCCAGGGCCAGCCTCTGGGGGAGGGACAGTGCCGGGACCTCCCACAGCAGTGCTGCTAGCCTGCCAGGTTCGCCCCTATCTTTTTTATTGGAACAACTTTTTTGAGATATAATTCATATGTCATACAATTTACCCATTAAAAGTGTATAACTCAATGGTTGTTAGCATATTTACAGATTTGTGCAACCATCGCCACAGTTTTAGAACATTTTCATCACCTTGAAAATAAACCCCATACCTTTAAGCTGTCACCCCCCCACCCCAATAGTCTGATTACCTCCAGCCCTAACTACCAGTCTACTTTCTGTTTCTATAGCTTTGCATGTTCTGGACATATGTGGTTTTTTTGTGACTGGCTTCTTTCACTTAGCATAGCGTTTTCAAAATGCGTCCATGTTGTAGCATGATGTAGTATTATGGTGGAATACTAGTCCATTGTATGGATACACATTCTGTTTTTCCATTCATCTGTTGATGGACACTTGGATTGTTTCCACCTTTTGGCACCACCTGTATTCTTGATGTTGTGATCTGGTGGCCCACAGGCCATATTCCGTCTGCAGATGGATGGTGTGGTTTGTCCTGCATGGTGGTGGTTTAAAACCATTTGAGCCAACATCTAAATATTGGAGACTACATTCAAATATGAATTTTCAGCAGGGTTTTGAACTAGTTTATTCAGGTTCCACTCTGCTGAGAATTTGCATTTACACCCTAGATATACTCAATCAGAATCTACATTTTAACAAGATCCCCAGGTAATTCTTCCATATACATTTTAATTCTTATGTAGATTCTGATTCAGTATATCTGGGGGGTAGAAATGCAAATTCTTAGCAGGGGGTTTAACTGGAATGAACTGGTTTGAAGCCCTGGCTTGCCTATTACTCCCCTAAACCTTAAGAAGCCTAAGGCCTTTGGAAGGCTGGGTCCCCCAGAACTGGTCAAAGACAGAATCTCCCACACTTGAAGATGAGCCTGGTTGGATATGGTCCAAGGGGCTCCAAGGCAGAGCACTGGGTGGCCAGCTATCACTGTTGTGGTGCCCTGCGCACACACACCTGCCGCTGGCATGCAGCCCATGGTCCAGAGGCTCAGGTTGGAGTCCGTACCTTCCCAACAGCGTCAGAGTGAATGGGCAATCTTGCCTCTCATCCCTTCCTCCCCCAGTTCACACAGAGGTTCCAGTTTATAGCCCTTGAAATGTCCCTTTACCACTGGCCTCAGCCCATTTCATCATCTCGTATCCAGCTGGAAGCCACAGGTACTCATGTGCTGTCTTTTAAACCATCTAGATGAGGACGGGGACTTGGTTGCCTTTTCCAGTGATGAGGAGCTGACAATGGCAATGTCCTATGTGAAGGATGACATCTTCCGTATTTACATAAAAGGTAAGGGACTGCTCTGGGTGTGGCCTGAAGCCAGGTGCTCCCTGCTGAGTAAAAATAGGGCTTGAGGGCTAGGAATCTGAGGGCTATTTAGACAGAGGCATAATAAATACTGAGTTTGCCCTTAGAAAGGAGTCCATGTTCACCATGTAAAGAGTGGGGTCTGAAGGGTCTCTGAGTCCACTCTTGATTGTGCCTAGACCAAGTGCCATGAGGCTGAGGGGGATGCTTTAGGGGTGCAGTGCAGGGTTTATTTTAGTGAGGAGCAAGGCCAGAGTGTGCCAGCACAGCTCCCTGATGCTCCGCAGGTGACTGGGCCCTGCGTGCCCAGTTTTCAGGTACAGCGATTGGGACTCACCTAGCAAGTTCTGAGGTTTCTTTGTTGCTGTCACCTGAACAACTGAATTCTGTGTGGAACTGGGTGTTTGGCGTGGGCCTTGCTGGCTGTGACAGCTCCACAATGGTGATGGAGAGGGAGGTCTTTGGGGGGCCTCACCTCAATGGCTTTCTCCACCCTCCCTGCAGAGAAGAAGGAGTGCCGGCGGGACCACCGCCCCCCGTGTGCTCAGGAGGTGCCCCGCAGCATGGTGCACCCCAATGTGATCTGTGACGGTTGCAATGGGCCCGTGGTGGGAACCCGCTACAAGTGCAGTGTCTGCCCAGACTACGACCTGTGTGCGGCCTGTGAGGGGAAGGGCTTGCATAGGGAGCACAGCAAGCTCGCGTTCCCCAGCCCCTTTGGGCACCTCTCTGAGGTAAGCAGGGCCTCTGCAGCCTGGGGTGGGTGCTGGGGCGGCAGGAACCACCTGGCCCTGCACTGCCCTGTTCCTCTGCTTGCTTTTCCTACAGGGCTTCTCTCACAGCCGCTGGCTCCGGAAGCTGAAACATGGGCACTTCGGGTGGCCAGGCTGGGAAATGGGCCCACCAGGCAACTGGAGCCCACGTCCTCCTCGGGCGGGGGATGCCCGCACCGGCCCCTCGGCGGAATCAGGTGAGGCTCATCCAGGCAGCCTGTCCTGTGTGTGCTGTCAAAGGCCAGCAGAGCTGGAGGACCATCTTTATTCTCTGGTGCTGTTACCCAAACCTTCCATGTGCACTGATGCCTGCTATGCCTGTGGCTGGGCCAGGTGCTTTCACAGCCATCCGTGTCATTTAATCCTCACAAGAGCCCTGCAAAGTTGGGAGTATTAGCTCTGTTTCACAAGTGGGAAAGCTGAGGGGCAGCAGGGATCACCCAAGGCCACTAGTGTACCCAGCAGTCAACCACTTCGTTGTGTAGCCCATCTGGGTGCCCTGAGATCAGGCCTTTGGGCCATCCAGTCCCCGGAGCCTGTAATAGACTCTTGTTTTCTCATGTCAGCTTTCAGGATACCCAGAGCCACATCTGCTCTTGTTAAAACACAGTCACAAAGTTAAAAATTTACATGTGGCTTGCAGTCTATTGTTTTGTGTTCTGGTCTTCTTTTGATTTTATTAATCTTACTGTGTTTTTTGATTAATTTCATCTTTGGGACAAAGGTGGGGATATTTTTTGATTTTGAGTAAATAATATATCTCAGACATGGCCAATATTTACATACCACATATTCCGAGCCCTGCTGGGTTACCGAGCACCAGGACCACAGACAAAGGAGGAGGAACAAGTTGGAGGATGAAGTGGTTTAGGATGTGGCCCCACGGGCGCAGGTGGCCAGGGGAGGGGAGGAGGAGTATGTGGGCTGCCAGGATAAGGCATCCACTAGGACACAGAGGCTGCCTGGGGTAATAGTGACCTAGGGAGGAAACTGATAGGACTGCGAACGGGTATCAGAGTCATCAAGAAACATGGCTTGAATAACACATACCTTTATTTTTGTTTTAAAAATCGAAGTTTCTGGGCCCTCAGAGGATCCCAGTGTCAACTTCCTGAAGAATGTAGGGGAAAGTGTGGCCGCTGCGCTCAGCCCTCTGGGTAAGTAGGCTTTCATTGTTTTATAGCAGTTAAGTGTTTTGTGAACTTGGCCTTTTGGTGGCTTTCACCTCTGACTCTGTGGAGGGATGGGTAACTGATGTGGCCTTGAGACTGTTGAGTATTTGTTGCCTCAAGCCAGCCTTTGCCAAGTGGTGGGTTACAGGCAACTCAAGGTTCAATTCCCTGACAAATTCCCGAGCTTCCCACAAGGAGGGATATGGAATCAAACATGGATGGGACATTCCCAATAGGGAGGGTGACCAGACTCTGGCCGAAGGGCCCAACTGCCAACTTCTGAGTGCCCTTTGGGGGAAGGACAATTTGCATTTTCCCCTAAGGTGAGCCTTGGGATTTACTCAAGGATGTGGGTGAGTATTTAGTTGAGGGGCCGTTTATCTTTTCCTTCCTTTTTGTTTGCAATCCCCTTACCTTTCCTGGGTGCTTTCTGGGCCTGTGCCTAGTGCTGGAGAGTGAGGGGACAGCGTAGAAAGGATGCCTTCTGTCACGCCTTTCCAGGGCCTCTGATTTCAGAGTAGGTAGATCAGCAGAGTGTGTGACGTGCAACAGCTGTCCCTTCAGTGGCGTGACATGACCTGAGGTGGGCTCTGGGGCTCACTGCTGTGGCTTTAGAAAACACCTATTCATCTGATAGTCTGGAGGTGGGGGCTGCAGGGCTAGGTTTTGTTAACAGTGAGAATCAGCTAATGAAGGGGACTTCTAGTTGTAGATTATGATGGATCCATGATGTCAGCCTAGGAGAAAGAGGGCACCTTTCTGTTTTCAGTGGGAGGAAGTATCCCCCTACCTGTCCAAAGTTGTGTCACATGTTTGAAAGAATACCAGTGGAAGGGTGCCCAGCCCTGCCAACCACTGTTCTGGCTTCCAGGGTAACTTCCGTCTCCTCTGACTGAAACCACTTCCACTCACACCGATTCTGCCCCAGGACATGCCTTTGAAGCAGCAGTGACGTCTGGGCATGGCTGCTAAGATGAAGTCGCTCACACCACACATGGTTTCTGTACTGCTAAAGACTTAAGAGAATGAGCAAGAGAACTGATACTCTTCATGCTTTCCCAAAAGGATAAAACAGTGGAGGATGATCAGATTATAATGGGGAGATAAGCTGTGCTTAAATGCCATCTGACACTCACTGAAGATACAGCAAAGGTTTGAAAGACTGAAGTAGAAGTCTGAGGGGGTGGTCATCCCACTAACGGCCTACAGTTTAGGGGCCATGGGAAGCTTCTCTGTGGAAGAGTCAGTGGAGCAATGCTTCTCAGGCCTGGCTGAGCTTCAGAATCCCTAACAGGGTTTTTTGTGGTTTTTTTTTTGCTATACATTTTGGTGTATGGAAAACTTTATTAAAATTATTTTGAAGAACAAAGTCTTTCACTAAAGGAATGAGACATCCTGGGAAGTCACAACCCAGGATTTCTAGGTCCCACCTTTCGTGACTGGTTAGGTGGGTCTGGGGTGGGGCCTGAAATCTCTGCTTTCTGAAGGCTCCCCCGCGTGATCCTGGCTCACATTCTATGCCTCCCCAGAGCCATCGTGCCTGCGGAGTATTTCAGAACTGATGTGGATTCCCTACTCAGAAAATATGGTAGTAATTTTAGAAGTGCCCAGAGGTCCTTTGGGATAAGGATAAAGGCGTTTTCTCTTAACTAGGGAGGAGCCTGACACTCTACAAAACAGGGCAAGTTTCAGTAAAGTATGACGGAGTAGCTTCCATCGAGGAGATGTATTTGAGGATCTGCTTAAATTCTGTTGTTGAAGTTATAGGTATTTGCTTTTCTTTATGAGGAACTAAAAACCAGGATGACTCACACTGTTAACTGCCTACAAGGGGCTGTTCCCAGAGCAGGGGTTCAAAGGGGACCGAGTGAACAATACCTCCCAGGAGACAGTGCAGAGAATGAGTCAGGTGACTTAAAGAGCCAAAGCCCTTTCTTAGTAGGTGCCGTGAGAACCAGCTGAGCAAGTCTACCCGAGGCACAGGACTGGTCCTGGCTTGGAGGCCACAGTCACCGGCATCTAGGACGTAAAGGAACAGGGTCCTTCCTCCTCACAATGTCTTTGATAAACACACACAGGCTTTGGGGCAGCAGGGCACAGACTGGTGCACAGCCTGGTAAGCCCTGAAGTCTCAAGGGGTTAATCATCAAGTTGGAGAAATAATAATCTCTGATTCTGTCTACAGAAGAGTCCCATCATTCACCCATTTAAAAAAGAATGAGCAAGTATATTGGTGTTCACTGTACTATCCTTTTAGCTTTTCTGTTTGCTTGAATGTTTTCATAACGAAAAGTTGGAGGAAAAAAGGGAGAAAAACAGCTTAATGCAGATGGAGGTCCTTGTAGTTAAGCCTGCATTTATCTTTACTTCCTCGCCAAACTCTGCTAAAATAACAAACAGTAAAGAGATTAAACAAAAAGGTATAAATGGTATGTCACCAAATTTTGAAAGATGGTGAATGGATAGAGTTGGTAACCAAGGGTGGAAATATCAGAAACTTAAGTGCCTGCACAGGGGACACTGGTGAGGGCAAAAGTCCACTCAGGAATTGGGAGAGGCACAGGTGCCAGGAAAGGCAAGAGGTGGGAGTGGCATGGGCCAGGGACAAGGGGACTGGTTGAAAACCTCCATGAAGATCACTTAGAGACCCCAGGGACCCACTCAGCCAGATGAGGCCCTTGCCAGCCCTTGCAAGAAAACTGCTGTTTAATTCCTGGAGCACCTGACCCAGGGGACCTTCTCATGGGGCGTAGCAGAGGATAGGGCGAGGCACCAGGCTGAAGCTGGGCATCATGAGTAGTCAGCCTGATCAATGCGTCCAGCAGCCTGCTCCCTCACCAGGAGGGAGGTTAGGAGTTACTGTTCAGGAGAGGCTGAATGTGGTCAGAGGAGAGCCTGTGAGCCCGTGACATCTAGGCTTCACTGATGCTGGCCCAGTGCCCAGCCAGCCTGAAGATGGGATGCTGATGATGCCTTGCCCCACAGTCAGCCTTGTCTTAGTGTCTCACTAAGAAGCTGTTGGAGGATATGGGGAAAGTTATCAAAAAAAAGGACATCATTAAGTTTAGAAAAAAACTAAGGAAACAGTCAAGGTCACTACCTGGCCCAGCAAAGAACAATACTTACATAGTGGTACTAATATAAATGTTGAATTTTGTTTTAACCAAAAACCGAATTTTTGAAAGTATGGGGTAAGGGGAGGCAAATACTGATCTAGAGTAAGACATAGATGTAAACTTAAGCATTTACAAAAGAACAGTGTGAGCTGGAAGTTGGCTTTGGGGAGCGGGATGGGGTATGTGAGGGGGAGTTGTGAAGGCAGGGGATTGCTGTTTTTCCCTCTAAGCCTTTTGGAAGTGTTTGACTCTAATCTGTGGGCATGTAGTCTTTGATAAACTAATTTTAAAAGTAGGGCAGGGGATTCTGCCCCATCCCTTCCCTGAACATGTACCCAGAGTGTGCGAGATGGGCGGGGGACATGCTGCCCTGTGCTGCTCAGCTTCATGGGCTCATATGCAGCTTGATCTATTCTGTTTGCCTCAAGCAGAACTCTAGTGTTTAAATACGTGTGTTTCTCATATCACAAGGCCTTGACATGTGAGCCAAATGCTTCATGTGGTCTTCAGCCAAGGAAACCCTGCCTGGGGCATATTGGCCCCATGTAGATTTGGCTGTCACCCTGTTCTTAGGGCCTGACCCACCTGACATGCAGCCCTGCGTGAACCAGAGTGGCAGGAAGAGCCCCCAGCCCCCGCGGCTGCCATGGAGCCTTCATGGGTCTTCTGACCGCAGGCCTCGCCTCTTGTCCATTCTGCCCTAGAGTCATGCTTTCCTGACAGGCTCTGACCCACCATGCCCCTGCTTACAGGCTCTGTTATCTCCCTGTGGCCACAAGGGAGACTCGTTTCTCCAGGTTCATCCCTGCTATGGCACCAGCATCCTCTGCTCCACTGGTCTCCATCCTCCAGGCTCTCATGCCCTGCTGTTGCTCCCCACTGCCTACCTCCCTAGAGCCGATGCCCCTTCCCTTCACATCTTCTCTTCTTCCTCCCTGGCTGAACTCCCTTGGACAGAGCTGGCTCCTTGGACGCCCTCTCTTGCTCCCACCTAGTTGTGAGCTAGGCTGTCTGAGTCTTCCCTGGAATACCCTAAAGACACATGGAAGTCAACCCCTGCTCAGCCAGCCTCCTGGAAGCTTGGTCAGGGGTAGGAAAAACAAGGTCTCTTGATGGACTTTCTGGCTCAAGCTGACCTTGGATGTTAGCTGAGATTAATGTTTTACTAAGTTGGAGGAAAGGAAAAGTCTAATATGATGGACATGTCAGGAAGAGTTTTTCTAGAAGCTAAGTAATAAATCTGAGAGGATTTTAGGTCAGGATACTGGGAGACCCTGAAGATCAAAGATGGACCATCCATTTGCCTCTGACTCCTGGGTTTATGGGACTTGGTCTGGCCCCATACTGGCCGTTTGATTCGGGCTTGAGCTCTTTGTCACTGCTAGTGTCTGTATCCACATGACAAGTGCCCCATACTGACTCCTCAGATGCCTGTGAGGACGGGACCTGAAAGCTGTCAACCTGCAGCCCCTCAGCTCGCTGAGAGACCGCCTTTGCATTTTTGTTTTGCAGTCCCCTCTCTGAAGGACTTAATAGGTTTTTGTTTCTTCCTTGGCCTCTAGGCATCGAAGTTGATATTGATGTGGAACATGGAGGGAAAAGAAGCCGTTTGACATCCGCCTCTCCAAACAGTTCTAGCACAGAGGAGAAGTGCAACTCACAGCCAAACAGCTGTTCCTCTGAACCCAGCAAACCAGAGGGCAATGCGGAACACACAGCTCAGTCTCTGGTAGAGCAAATGAAAAAGATCACCTTGGAGCCTATGGGCCAGCCCGAGGCAAGCCTGCTCTCCCAGGTCACCTAAAAGGGCAGCCAGCAGGCGCTTTCTGCCCACAGCACCTCTCAGCCACCTTCCCTCACCAGCACTGACAGTCTGTTTCCTGGGTATTTAAGTCATTCTATGAACCTTCTGCTAGAACTTGTACAGAAAAATATACTTGGCCTTTGCAGCAGCTGCTCACTGTACCCATAGCTTCTTGCCTGCCCTACACACATACAAACACACACGAATTAGTGCTATGATTAGTTTCTGCCTATTGCTCCTGTTCCTTATGTGCTCACGGTGAGTTTTGTTCCAGGAACAGATGGAGTCCGATAACTGTTCAGGAGGAGATGATGACTGGACTCATTTGTCCTCAAAAGAAGTAGACCCGTCTACCGGTGAGCTCCAGTCTCTGCAGATGCCAGAATCCGAAGGGCCAAGCTCTCTGGACCCTTCCCACGACGGCCCCACAGGGCTGAAGGAAGCGGCACTGTACCCACATCTTCCACCAGGCAAGTGGCTTCAAGCAGTTTTATGTTTTTACTCTTCTCTCTCAGAGCCTCCTGTAGTTTCCTGCTTTTAGCAACAAAAGTGTGTGATGTTCTTGCCCGGGGCTTGTCTGTGGCTCTGAGAGAAAATGAGGAGTGGTTTTGTCCTCTTATGTTTATACTGAGCAATAGTAAGCTCAGCTAATTTTAGCAGTTTCTAAGATAGCCCCCAGACCAAGAATTAAGAAGGCAGATATATGTAGAGGAAAGCAGTGGATTTGGCGCTGCCACATAGGACCAAAAGTGACTTCATGGTTTCCTCACAGAGTGCTGACCTTAGGGCAGGGTCACAGCCCAGATCCCTGCAGGAGCCAGACAGGAACCAAACGAGTGCTGTGTGTAGTGTGTGAGGCAGTAGGGCAAGGTGGGGACTGTGGCAGCCTGATAGTATGCCCTGAATAAAGGGGGCAGCTGATACTCAGCTCTGTCACCTGGCAATGAGTTTAAAACAATGTTCAAGTGAGGGAAAACCCATCTGTGGGCCAAATCTGGCCTGTGGCTGTCAGTGTACATCTTTTCTGCCCTAGAGCAGGGGTGGCAAACTATGGCCTGTGGGCCAGGGTTGATTTTTACATTTTTAAATGCTTGGAACAAAAGCAAGGATATTTCATGACATGTGAAAATTATATACAATTCAAATTTCTGTGTCCATAAATAAAGTTTTATTGGAGCACAGCCATGCTCATTTTTTTACGTGTTGTCTAGGCTGCTTTCGTGCAATAATGGCAGAGTTAAGTAGTTGTGACAGAAACCATGTAGCTTGCCATAGGGGTCCCTGTGAGGGTAAGAGGGTGCACGTGGAGGGTCTGGCCGGGTGGGTACTTCCTGGCTGGGGGACAAGAGGCTGCTATAGTTGGCACACGGTGGGCTCAGTGCTGGCCTCTACTCATGGGCTCCTGTGACTCTCTCTGACAGAAGCTGACCCCCGGCTGATTGAGTCCCTCTCCCAGATGCTGTCCATGGGTTTCTCTGATGAAGGCGGCTGGCTCACCAGGCTCCTACAGACCAAGAATTATGACATTGGAGCTGCTCTGGACACCATCCAGTATTCAAAACACCCACCGCCATTGTGACAATGTTTGCTCAGTTAGTCTACCCCTTTTGTCTCCTAGTTGTGCTGAGCTAGTGTAGAACAGCAGGGCCTCTGAAAGGGCCACTTTCTCTGCATTCTTCTTCCAGACTCTGGGGGGGTGGGGATGCATGAAGCCATTTAGGGTAGTAGAAAAAGTGACATGATGGGGAGTTCCAAGTATGTGTATGTTTGAGAACCTAGCTGTTTTGAGATTGATGTTTGAGAAATGAAACCAGCATCTCTCGTGTGCCCTGGCTCTGGGCCTTGCCCTTGCTGAGGAGGACATGGAGGGCACACTGCAGCCTGTTGCTGTCCCCCCGCCCCCAGGATGATACCAGCAATCCAGAATATATCTTGTCTTATGACCTTCTGCTTTTTCTTTTTTTTAAATGACTAACAGTATGCTGACATTTAGTTGATTATCCGCTAAAAATCTGATATAGTCTGATTTTAGAGTACTGTTACTGTTTTGTGAGGGAGCAGAGGAGGGTGTCCTGGAGCAAGTGCTGGGGAGGAAGAATGGGGTTAGGACAGGACAGCCCAGTACTGTGGGTTTGGTGCTTGGGAATAAAGAAGGGCTGATAAGGCAAGTCCGAGACGTTGGTTTTCACTGAGTACTGCCTCCTTGTTCATAACCCACTATAGTTCTCTCCTTTCCAAATGTGTCAGTTGCTTCTGAAGTAAGAAAATCCCTTTGTAGCCATTCTGTTATAATATCTGTGATCAGTCTGTAATTAAATGCTGTACGCACTTTAATCAAAGACGTTGTCTTCTCCACAACAAAGCAAATCTGTTTGACTGTAGTATTTATTGTCAGCTTTCAGCAGTCGCCATAAATTATACTCAGCCCTATGATTTAAAAGCAACTCAAGGGTACCTTGTTTCTATTTGTCTAGAGATCTAGTGGAATAGGGCTCATGTGACAAATATACCTAGAGTAACAGCATGCTGGCCTCAGTTCACAGGTCATCATCAAAGTCCTCACCAGTTTTAAAGAGGTCACACAGTAGCACAGGTAGGGATTGCTGTTCCACTTTAACCAGGGGCCCACCCTCTGCCTGAAAAGTTCCTGGGCCCCATGGCTGCTCGGCGGTCTTCCTGCAGGGCCTCCTGGCCCCAGACGGAGTGTTTGGGACCCAAGGAGGCTGGAGAACATCAGGGGGCCCACTGGAGCAGCCTTCCCTTGGGCTCTGGGTCCAGGGCTCAGGCTGTACTGGACTGGCTGAACTGGGGCCTGTTTGCAGAGGTCTCAGTGGCTCCGTGTCCACATGGGAGCTCTTCCCAGGTGACAGAAGAAATCGTTCCCATTTAGAACATGCAGCCTTAGCCTGCTGGGCAGGCCTAGGTGGTTTCCACCGAGGAACAGTAAGCTCACTGCTGTTCCAATCCTCCAAGTTCTCCTGGAGGCAGCCTCTGCTTCCTTGTTCGACCTTCCCTGTTAGGTTAGTGTAGCTCTGAAACAGAAATAAGAGAAGATGGCCGCATCCTCTGTTTAGAAGAATGAGCCCCAGTGGCCAGGCAGGCCCAAGTCACAGGAGGAGGGAGCACCATGTGCCGGCACAATCACTCCTGCATCTGTACTCCTGGGGCTGGTTCTGCTCTTGTGCTCTACCTACTGGCTTGTTCTCAGGCTGGGGAGATGCTCTGCTTGTAAGGTTTACCTCACTGCAAATTCTCCATTAAATTCATGACTAGGCTTTCCAAAAAAAAGATACTCTCATGCAATCAAGAAGTCCACTGTATGGGGATCTTAAAGTCAGATGGGAGGCCTGGAAGGAGGTGAGAGCAGGAAAGGCCCTTAGAGACCACCTGGAATGGGGTGGGTGTGGATGCCCCCCTGCTGTTCAGTCCCGTCTGATGGGGGTGTCTTCACAGAGGTGGGTGGAGGAGGGCGAAGCCGTGTGTGGTTCTATGAGGCCTCCTGGCAGATGACAACAGGTGCGGGGACTGTCTGCCCTTTCACCTCAGGCACCAAAGAAGCACTGAGAGCTGGGCTCACGCTTACAAAGTAACTTGAAAAGGAGTGATACAGTGGGACCCTGTGACACTGTCACCCAGGCCTTGTGGAAGAGGCTTTGCCGTTCTGACACTGAGACACTGGCTCTGTCCCTGAATTTGTGACCTCAGTCCAGTCACTAAAACTTGACGAGCCTCAGTCCCTCGCCTTCAAAGCAGAAAAGAGCAGGCTTGTGGTGAGCATTAAGCATGATAAAGCAGCTTCAATGTTTGGTCCAGGGGCTGGCATGTGGTAAACATTACTACTATCATCGTCACTGGCATTATTCCGTAATTTAGGTATCAAGCATCATGTACTTACTGGGGGGCACAAAACTAGTTAGTGGCAAAACCCTTGAACTCTGCCTCTTGGCTTTGAGCCAGCACTCTGCGCCAAGGTCTGAGAAGCAGCCACAGCCAACCTTGGCTTATGTCAGGCTGTGGCAATGGCTGACACCAGCTCATTCCCACAGCTCCCCTGGCAGCGTGAAGCCAGGCCAGGGCGGTGAGCTCAGGAACCCGTGTTCTGCAGCACTGCATGTGCAGTGGAGTTAGCTAGGTGTGAAGCAGTAAAAACAAGAACACTTGCTAAGTGAATGCAGTGCCTTGAGTGTAAAAGTCTGCCACGAGGTGAGTTAGGGTGAAGATGGCAACACATCCTCAGAAATGCGGGCCAAGTCCTATTTGGAACAGTCTGACAAAGATCCCCCACTCCCTGCAGGATGAAGAAAATGGCCTGACCTCGGCAATCCCTACTGGTTAGCCGCCGTGGCTCTAAGGCATCAAGATGACCTCTCAACCATGAGGGCACGTCACTAAAGAGGATGAGCATGGGAGGGAAGCAGGGTACATGCCAGAGACAGGCCTACAGGCCTATAACCAAAACAAGACACCTGAGTGGAAAGTTGGGCTTTTGGGGGGTGTTAAGTCTTATACTTCATCAATTATCAAAAGAAAACAAGACAAAAAAAAAAAAAAAATCCTGTGTACGCTCAACGGTCACTGGAACCAGAACAGAAACACTGACCTCGTGGGGCTGCAAGGTGGCCTTGGAGTCGCCTTCTCTGCAACCTGAGTCCTGGGTGTCAGGGCTCCATTTCCTGGTGTGGAGAAAAGTGCTGTCAGCTACCCTAGTCCTGTCATCTGAGCACCTCACAGACTCGGACTCAGTGGAGCCTGCTCCAACACCCCAGCACAGATAGGAACCTTTTCATCCCTTAACGGCTTCCTAGGTGGCTGCTCAGCTTCTGCTCTACCACAAATAACAGCCTATAAACTTAATCCACGGCAGTCCACTTCTCTGCTTGATAGCTTGAAGGTGTTGGAAAATTCTTTAAACTGAAATCTACCTCCAAGTAGCACCCGCCCCATGAGAGCAACCCAAAATCCTTGACATCTAAATTTTCCTCTCTAGGCTAAAAGCGCCCAGCCCTTTGGCCACTCTTACCACACTTAGTTTTGTCAACCTTGTCCCTAAAATCAGTTCTTTCCTTAGGTTAGTACAGTCTGAGATGTTAAGTGACTTTTGTAAAAAGACAGGCACCGTGGTGCCTGCCCAGCCTCCCTTCTGCACCGCAGTGCCCAGTCCCAAGCCAGGCTGAGGAGGGCCAGTTGTGACAGCTGCTATTCAGCTTCCCCACATGCCAGTGCCCTCGCTTGGGCTTCTCCCACTTTGCTGACTGTTAGAGGTAGATCCTCAGTCCCACCATTCCAAGAGTTAACAAGAGCAATGGTACAAGGTCTGCACTGCTGACTAGCTAGGCACCTTTTTCTAGGGAGATTGTTACTGAAGGGAGGGTCTGGCTTCTCCAATCTGGACGAGAGCTGTCTATTGAAATACACTTCTTCTCCTTCCAGCTCCAGTTCTTTGGAGCCCTTTTCCAGATACTTCAGCCAGCGGCTCTCTCTGGGCTGCGATCTTTCCTACAGGATTGGGAAATGAGTTTATTCTCAGAATTGGAAAGCAGGCACTTTTATTGAAACTCCCCATCCCCACTCTTAGGTCCAAGGGTCTCAGGATTCACGTCTACCTCATTACCCAGAAAAGGGGAATCTCATGCCCTCAGGCACCACTGGGCTTGGTGCACACTGGCAACCACCGGGGAAGCAGCAGGCACAGCTTATCAAGAACCTAAAAAACAAGGAGGCAGGGCCAAGATGGTGGAATAGTCAGATGCTTCTGGTGGTCTCTCTTACAACAAAGACCCAAAAAAACAAGTGAATCAATTATATATGACAATCTAGGAGCCCTGAATATCAAAGGCAAAGTTGAGGAATCGGATTGAGTGGCACGGGGAGGGAAAGATGGTTCGGAAGCAGCAAGGAGTTGCCAGACCTGACCCGGCAGGAGCCTGAGCCCTTCGGCCTGGATCAGCTCAGCGGTGAGCAGTGAGGCAGACAAGCAGCAGTGCTTGGGAGGTGTTTTCCACACTGGGAGAGACCCAGCGGCAGAAAGTCTACTCAGCCATCCAGAACCAGTGAGAAGCAGCCCTCGATCAGTGAAACATAAGTATTTGCATCTGGCCTACTGCATGGATCAAAAACACCCCCCTTAGGGAAAAACCTTTCATTTACTTCCCTGCTCTGCACTGGATTCAGGATGGCTTCAGCGACTGCCAAGTCCCCTGGGCCAGAACTAGGACCCGTCAGGCACCCTGAGCCATTCTCCCTGCCTTGCAGAGGGAACAAATTAACAAATGGGGAAAAAATAATCTGCCAGCTCCCCTAAGCCAGGAACTCAGGGTAGGCACAGCTCCTTTGCCTAGGCAAAGGCTTAGGGGATCCATGGACTTTGAATGCCTTTCCCCCATGCAGGACTTGTGTGGGCCCGTTTCAACAGTGTAGGCCCTCATTACTGCAGTACAACAGGGTATATAACCTGAAGTCTAACTTCAACTGTTTCAGCTGTGAAGTGGCAGATTCGTGACATCTGACACTGGACACTGCTCTGCCCATTAAGTAGGGTCTTCCCACATCAGAGGCCTGAGGACTGGTGGCTCCACCCACGCCACCTAGCCACTTACGATAGGGGCCCAAGAATAAGAGGTGCCCCCTAGTCCTTACAGCCAACAGCACTATATGCTCATAGTCCAGCTGCAAAACCCACCCACCTACACACTCTAGGGAACAGGGACATGCTTTTCTCCTGGACACTCGGGGGTGGCCATCAGCCCCCTGACTTGCTCAGTGTGTGTCCCCCTGCTGCAGCCAGATGCCTGTGCCTACACCAATAACCCATGCCTGTCTAGGACTGTAGGTGAGAGCCTGCACCACACACTTGGTGGCTGACTACCTGGACACCTGAGCTGAATCCATACAGGGAGTGGGCAGACTCCTGGG